TATGTCAGTAGTCACCTGGTCTCGGGACACGATGAGGGTTCTATTTTAACTTTTATGTATAGAAATGCTTTTAAAAATATAGATGTGTGTATTGCAAGTTGTGTTATCTCCAGTGTTTCTTGTTAAATTGTGTTCATTATTTTATCTGTTTGAAGGAAAAAATTACACTAAACATTATAAAACTAAAATAAATGAAACGAATTTTCAGAAGACTGTGTTCAACTGCAGCAGGAAAAAAAAAAACAAACATAGAGATATTTCCTTTCCAGCGTGAAGTGTATGGTTCTTCTGAGAAGCTTGGATCAGGATTTCCAAAGGCGTCAGGAAGCATGATTACACATTAGTATCATCCCTAGCTCATTTAGGTCAAAATTTTCTATTCTTAATCCTTATCAGTGAAAAATTTAAAAATTAAATATCCTGATAAAAAAAACCGTGCACAATTTAATTTTAAAGTGAGAAAAAAAATCCGGTTGTTGATATCTTTTCAAGACAAGTACCACAGGTAAACATAATCATTTAAACTTTTCCAACCAATAAAATCCATACAAATTCTATATTATATAGATTAAGGCCGAGAACAGATTACGCGTGTTGTTTTAGGGACACTTATAAACATTAGAAGAGTGTAACATTAACACCGGAGGTTTTAAATGGAATACTGCATAAGATCAGAACTTTAGCATTAACCATCCCAACCCCATCAAAATAACGTTTCAGATATATAAATGTAAAAAGGAAAATTACTCTCATTTAAGGAAACATTTTATACTTTAAAATCTTGCATTTGAAATAAAATATAATCCATTGTAAAGATTGCAGAAAATCTTTTCCTTTTGGACATCTTTTAAAAGTATGATGACTTTTCCTCTATTCTGATATAACAGCGCTCAGGTACACAGCATACAAAGAATGGTCTATTTTTAGAAATACACGTGTTTATTTTTAAAGTCAAATTAAACAACTTTCTTCAAAAAATCGTTTATCACTTTCATTTATGACGCCCATTAAATTTTGCGCCAGGATATAAATTGTCATGACTGAATAGACCTGCTTACCTACCCTTCTGTCTGTTAATTAACAGACAAATTAGAATACCAGTGTGCGTGTTTTATGTACAACTCCTATTTTTCTAAGGTATGATTGTTTGATTATTGGCACGTGCGTTGCACGCTCAAACGTTAAGGTGAAAAACGTTATCCTGTGCTTTCAGGACCTTTTAATGCATTTCGGTACACGATAATTACGAGACAGATGCTTTACGAAAAGAAAACAAAAACAGTTCGATTGATTGCAATGTTTTCTTTTTTCCCCGTGCAGTGATAAATACATTTAAGATGAAAGTAAAATTGTTGTCAACGTTTTTGATCTATGTTGCAGTATTATTTCTAAGTTTTATTGGTTTTATTGATCCAAATGATTGTACTGATCACTATTTTTAGCAACAGCAGTTCAAACTGATAAAATCCAATACCGAATTAATTTTGAAAGCCCTTTCGATAATGTAACGATATTTATTAGCATTACCTTACAAGTCTTATTTTTGATAGACGACATTAAAATAAACGAAGACCTACATTTGCTGATACAAAGATATTATTATATAAAATATGAAAAACACCCAGTCAATATAGATTTATACTGATTTCAGATAACTTTCTCACCAATATTCCTATGTGAAATGGCCTAGAGTATATACAAATTTGGAAGACACTGCGAAATAAAAAATGTTGTCCAGGGTAAATTTTTTACGTGTGCTGCTGTTCCTATCAAATGTCCATGTCTTTATTGATAATAACCTTATCTTTATTAATAATAACCATATCTTTATTAATAATAACCATATATTTATTAATAATAACCATATCTTTATTAATAATAACCATATATTTATTAATAATAACCATATCTTTATTAATAATAACCATATCTTTTTAATAACAACCATATCTATTAATAATAACCATATCTTTATTAAAATTATATCTTTATTAATAATAACCTTATCTTTATTAATAATAGCCTTATCTTTATTAATAATAACCATATCTTTATTAATAATAACCTTATCTTTATTAATAATAACCATATCTTTATTAAAAATTATACCTTTATTAAAATTAACCTTATCTTTATTAATAATAACCTTATCTTTATTAATAATAACCATATCTTTATTAATAATAACCATATCTTTATTAAAAATTATATCTTTATTAATAATAACCATATCTTTATTAATAATAACCAAATCTTTATTAATAATGACCTTATCTTTAATAATAATAACCATCAATATAATTGCATTGTCACTGACTGTTGCAGTCGTTGAAACCTCAGCAGAAGACGAGTACGATAAAAAAAATTGATGCTTAAATATCGACAGTGAAAGCACAAGGCAAATACAAATTTTGTAAGTATATAAAGAGAATGGTGCAGAGGCCTAGCAAGAAATTCGTTCCCTCCCCAACCTTCGCAATACGTAAGTTTGGGATCCTTTCTCGTAAATGTAAAGTTAATTTATGGGTATTTTGGGCCACCTCGCCAAGTAGTTCATGGGATTGCTTGAGCAGTTGATGCACCACTAAAAGGATGCTTCTCTCTCTCTCTCTCTCTCTCTCTCTCTCTCTCTCTCTCTCTCTCTCTCTCTCTCTCTCTCGAACTCTCTCTCGAACTCTCTCGAACTCTCTCTCTCGAACTCTCGAACAAAAATGGCTATCGACCGACCCGATTAGTATATAATGAGTCTGTGACAATTTTATGTTTGTAGCGATGTAGTTGGGTTAGGTATGACGAACATTTTGCTATCACGGCATACCGCTACACGTACCACCATTGTATACCGCAAATATATTATGGACGAACAATTCAATTTTTGGGGTCAGATGTCTGAACTTCTTTTTAAATTTTCTCCATTGTTAGCTGTAAAAAGATTGCCTTGCTTTATAGCAAATTAACACCAAATTATATTTCTTATATTACTTTGAAGAAATTTTTAAAAATTATGTTGAGATTAAAGAAAACACCATTTCAGCTCAAAAAGAAACTCAAAGCTCCCCCCCCCCGCCGTGAAAATTAAATGGTCAGTACCTTATTGTAGTTGAATCTGCTATGTATCTGTTAATTTTTGCATAGGTTGCAATATAAAAACTGTAACAAAGTGGGATGAATAAGCTGACATTAGAGCTGACCCCCTATGAAAGAAACTCTGCTTTCTCGAAGGTCTTGGAATGCTTCGCAGTCTTACAAAGGAACGCATGTACTTAACACATTAACATACACTCGTAAATAATTAAATAACACGTCTTTTTAATCTGAAATTTCGCCAAAAGTTGGATTCGGCTCAAATATCTTACACAATACCCCGTTTGGCCATCGAGTTGGCATTCGTAACACTATCAAACACGTGACCACAGCTTCACAAATAAAATATTTTTGTAATATTCAAAATATGTGACCAATGCAACTGTTTTGAGAAGAAAAAAAGATTAGTAATTTTTTAATTATTTTTTCATGAAAAATTAAAACTATGCTAATACCATTGAATTCGTGATAAGATTATTCGGAAATTTTGATATATTCCTTACCGATGGAAACTACAGACGTATCGGTAAAATGAAAAAGTACTGAGTTAAGTACCGCCTGAAACAAATACTAATAAAACTGTATACCTGTAATACCACGCGCTTCTACTATGTAGAACCTGGTATTTCTGTAAATATATTTATTAAATGTCTTTGTAGTATGGGCCAGTGGACTAAATTTTAAAAAAGGCTTAAATCAGTGAATCAGTCATGATATTTAAGTTACTGAATACAAAACTCATGAACAAAAAAGATGTGACCGACCTAAATGATTGCAGAAACAATAATCTCTGCTGCTTTTCGATTTATGAAATATATCACAGCAAAGAGATGTCTTTGTTAAACTGGTGCACTTTCGCTTTTGAACGATATTAATATTCCCGTAGGTAGTGTTATTTTAAAGAACGGAACAGGTCGACCGAGTCTGAAAGTATGTAATTGAATAAATATATACATAAGGCAGACATAAATCTACTTTTCCTGTGACCATCAAACCTACCTGCTTACCTACCTATTTACCCACCTGTCTACTTACCTAATAACCAGTTACTTATCGACTCAGAGTAAATATGTACATGTACAATAATGTTCGCAAATTAGACGGACATACTTACTTACATGTATGGCAGTACTCAGACGTTCTTTTGATTGGTAATTATCTGCCCACCTGCCTGCCTAAGAACCTGTCTATCTACCGGCCTACCTACCTACGCACCGGTCCACTAATATACGTTGACGCCTTCCTACATTCTTTTATTGACAGGTATTTGTTTTTGTTTTTGTTTTGTTTTGGGGCTTAACGCCATTTTTCAGCACACGATAGGCTATTCATGGCGGCCAGTATTAATGGTGGAGGAAGAAACCGGGAAATCACCGGAAAGAACCACCGACCCATAAGAAGCAACTGGCAAGCTTTCTCACCTATCCACATTCGCCGAATCCTAGACTCGAACACAAACAGGTATAATCAGCCAAATGAGAAAAGGTCCGTTATTAGTTGAAAATTGATTGTGTTACACATAAACATACAGATCCATCAAACCACCCACCCACCCCACCCCATCCACCCCAAAAATAAAAAGTATTAGCATACCTTCTGTCAAAAATTGACCTTGTGGATTTTTTCTTTTTTGAGTATATACACATCAAAATAGTTTTGCAAACACTAAAATGAACATAACCGAGTCTATCTGTTCCCGTTCCTTTGCGCGGACTGCCATTGTCCCTCTAGGCAATGGTGTTTGCTAAACATAACTAATATTTTCTTTGTTTACGGTAAATAATGAAATTTCTATAATGGATCATTAATATTATGTTATGCACTTTAAAAGACAATGTTAAAACACATTACTATTCAGGTATGAATTATGTATACTTCAAATTATACACACATGGATTAAGATCTATAAATGGACCGCTCCAGTGTCCTAGTGGTTAGAGCGTCCGACTCGGATGCGGAAGGTCGTGGGTTTGATCCCCGACCGAGTCATACCAAAGACTTACAAAAATGGTACTAACAGCTGCTTCGCATGGCGCACAGCATTAAGAGGTTAGTGTTAGGACTGGTCGGCCTGGTGTCAGGATATTGTGACTGGGTGGGACATGATACTACATGTCTGCGGTATGCTGCCCCAGTGCTAGACATCACTATAAACTGCTTTACTGCAGACATCGTAGCGATATGACTGAAAAATTGTTAAAGCTACGTTAAACAACCAAATCACATAATCACGCGATTTATAAATGCAATATAAAACAATACTTTACGATTTTTTTCTCATATTTGTGCCGTTTGATATAAATTGCCCGCTCATATTCAGTTTATTACGGCAATTGTGCGCAAAACAGTTTTTTTAGTTCATCATTAATATCTAAAGGATGCACTGTATTGAATAATGGGAACCAGCCTAGAAATGGGTGAACTTTAAATAGAGTATATACGGGTTTTGCTGGCCAGGATTGGTTAATAATGTAAGTTATGTTTTAGAGAAAAGAATCTTTTGAGACCTTATCCTAGTTGAAAGTGAATAAAAATAGATACATTGTTTTATTGATGGAATTTCGGTTCTTTAATAGTCTTGAGTTTGGAACACTCTTTACTAAAATTAGCACCTGACTCTTTGGTGCGGAATTGAAAGCACATGTTTCAAACATATGCAGCTCCAGAAAATGCTGCGGTTTATATCATTTCCTCTGCACAGAAGCTGACTTCCAGGTTTCATCTATACTGATAAGTATAGGTTTGGTCATGAGCACTCCAAAATTTTAAGTTTTTGAATTTTTAATATCATGGTGTTTGCATAGGTTTACTATGGGAGCTGAATTAGTAACGTGATTCCTACAGAGAAATTAGACCATCGTCTGCGAGCAAAGGTACAAAACAAAAAAAAAATCATTTTGAGAAGAAAAAAAAATAAAAGAATTACGATCAACATATTCTTTGAAATATTTTAAAAAAGCTGCTATGACCCCCACGCCCTTCGCAAGAATAGTAGACATTTTGTCACTGTCTTAAACTAAAGTTGATTTTTTAAAAAAATAATCTTAAAAACAAACAAAAAAGAAACAAAACAACAACGCTGATACGATTGTCTAACCCAACATACATAATCGCTAATAATAATGTGAATATTACTGTACAATTTAAGGTAAATATCGCGTGAATAGTCTCCTTTTATGAAATTAAGCTGAGCATTTGATAGCGTATGCTTTTTTTTTTGCCTGCGACTTTATGATTAAATCATTACTTTGAACTACTTATATATTTATATATTTCATTTGAAAACATGTTTATTTAATGAAATTTGATATTTTCGAGGCGAAAATAAAAATGCAAATTTCCTCACGATCTTTCGTTTCGTCATGGAATTGATCTTTGAACGTTTGAAAACATTTCACCCAATGCTAATACAGAGTTAATTTTAATTAGGATTTTTTTGAAACATAACTTAATGTTCATATAAAGTTGTGTTTAATCACAAATAGCAATGTTGTATTCATATCTACAAATTTTTCATATCCCGCTTAAATTACATACTGTTGGGGTAGGGGGGAAGGAATGTACAATCTTTTATTGTATATTACCAAGCCTTATTTTATGGATAAGTTTTCATTGTATGTTTCCAAATCATACTTCTGGAGAAAATGACCAAGTTTCCATTAAATGTTTCCAAGCATTACTTTAGAGGAAATGGCTATGGGTTACATTGTATGTTTCCAAATCATACATCGGGGGAGGGTGGCAAATGGCTTAGCTTTCACTAGATATTTCTAAGCCTCAACATATTGAGGGATATCTGTAATATATCCGTTGTCAAAAATTGTTTGATACCCAATACCAACACCATAACTGAGGCACGAGCCTTAGTTTCACAACACGGCTTCCTGTGAATTCTCAAGCTGTCGCCACTGTTTCCATTACTTTCATCGCGAGGAGTAACCGCAGTATTACAATAGAGCCGGTAATGAAATAATTCTATCTTATTACCGCCCACTTTCTCGAAGAAAGCCGAAAAATATCAATGCACGTGTCGTACAGTCGACCCGGATCTAAGGCGTTGAGCTCTTACACAGTCAGTCTACGATAAATCTGTCTTTCCGTCTCAAAAGAGGTATGCTGCGTTAAAAAAAAAATCGGCTCTAAAGTTGACGACTTATCCCTAGTTTTGATATTGACATATTCAAAATTTTAATGTTTTTCTCGTAATCGTAATTGACAAGATTAAGATACATATAATAATGGATCGAAAGAAGCGGAAATCTGTTGTTCATACAAAAAGTATATATGAATTGTGTAGTTTAATGTTTTTCTCGTAATCGTAATTGACAAGATTAAGATACATATAATAATGGATCGAAAGAAGCGGAAATCTGTTGTTCATACAAAAAGTATATATGAATTGTGTAGTCTAATGTATCAAGTTTTTCTATCATTTTACAAACCTCAGATGTGCGAATTATTATGCATGCATATTTTGTCTAGGTTTGACCGGAAATCCATCTGGGGGGTTCTATTGTCTTTATCATTTGTACACCATTATGATTGAGTATAAGAAAATTTACTGAATTTTTTGTGCCGCCATCAATTTTTTTTTATGTATGTTGGTATGATGAAGGCATATTGACCTACTGTCAAATATAATTTTTTCCACTTATCTTTTCTCTGTCTGTTACTGTGACTGAGTGGACATCATGTCACATGTCTCCGACATGATGACCTGGTGCTAGACATCACTATACCATACATCGTAGCGATATGACTGAAAAATTGCTAAAAACTACGTTAAAAATCCAAATCACACACAAACACACACACGCACGCACACATTTGGTTTTGCTAGGTTTTATGTATATATGGATAGGGAAGTACCCTCCGGATACAGGGGTGATCGATTGCTAAATCGAAAATGACTGATGGGGGGTGAGTGTAAAGCATGTATTTGACACACGTTTCGTATTCGTTACCAGCAGAGACCTAACTAATTGATGCTGGTAGGTTAGCCAAAACACAAGTTTCACTAGCGCTTTTACAATTAACACTGATGTAAAGAATTGTCCACAAACTTTCTAGAAATGAAGAACATGGTTTCAGCAAATATTTTTTTTTCGGTTTATGTGCCAAGAGAGTAGTATAAAACTGATAGAACTGAAAGGGACACATACATTTATCACTTTAGAGATCGCTATAATATTATATAAGGCTATTATGTCTTTGTACATTTTAACGGATGATCATTTCTCTTTAGATTTTAGACAATGATGTCTACATCTATTTTTCAAGTACAATAATGTAAAATGCACCATTCTAATTCTGCATTTATTTTTCGATTATAATGGATACATTTTTACTATTTGCAAATAAACTTATTTCTTTCAAATATAAACAAACTAAGCCATTCATGCAAAGAACCGGATCGTGTGCTTAGAAATGACCTATATTTTAGGTTCCTGTTTAAATTCAAATTCTATTAATATGGCAGCTGAAAAAGCTTGCAAAACTATGATCTTTTTTTTCAAACACAAGTACACATTTTATTATTACTCCTTGTCTTTAAAAGTGATTTTAATACTAGAAAGTGAATATTGTTGTGTTTGTTTTCGCCGTGCAATACGAACAAATAAAATAAAAATAAATTAAAAATTCAAAACGTTGTGCTAAATATGCTCACGCTATATGCAGAAATAGCTCTCCATGTTACTTTTTAAGATTGTATTAAAAAGATCCATTTTTATAACTGAAGAAAAGGAAACACGATAACGTATTATCACACGCGAATCGTACAAAATCCATTTTTTAAAGTGGCAGATCGAAAATAATACAACAATAAAATGAAAGCTAATTATAAGTGATCATATAAACGAAAGAGCATTCAAACGTATTAGAATACGATGGAGTTTCCACCTTCAGATATACATATATTTTTAACATACGTGTATTTGTGGCCGTTTTTATCCTTTTAATGTAAAGAGCGGGGAATGTTTTTGTTAGACTGTTTTTGTCGGAGTTAGAATGAATGATTTACCACAATAGCAAATGGCGTACCCGTCACATACAAAGTAAACCGATAGCAACATTGAACAGGCATGCATTTTATTGTGTCCACGCAAAAATATAGAAAACTTTATAGCGTCGACACAAAATGGATTTTCCTTTCCCGATGACACACTGGGGCAACCTACCCGGACTGTCCTTGTTAAGTATTGAACCAGTGACCTTAGATGATGGATCAGGCGTCCGACACTCTTCCCACTGATCCACCGCGGCTCCTATATGGGTTGTGGTTTCATTGGTTTGAAATGGGGTTGAGTGGGATTTGGGAGTTGGTCAAAATAATGTCATATCACTGAGATCAGTGAAGGCACAGATGGAAGATACTGCCTTTGATACATGACCGCAAATAGAGACAACACTTTTATTTTTTCCTCTGCGATGAAATATGAAACATTATAATTAACTTAATATTGTTTGATTTTTTTGTAAAGCATTTGTATCGTAATTATCAAGTGCTAAAAGACAGAAAAAGCCCAAAAGCGCGTTCACCTTTCCGCTGGCACGTGCAGAGTGCGTGCCAATAATATAACAATCCTTCCATCAAAGACGTAATTTTGTTCACGAAACATACAAACTGATTTTTTAATTTGCCTGTCAATTTATCTGCGTAAGGGCATATAAGCAGATCTGTTTAAGATGTATTCAAGGCATGCCAGTTTGTGACCGAATTCGTGCATTAATGAGCGTCGCAATCAAAGTAATGCAAGGCTTTTATTCGACGCAGGGGATACGATTATGGCATATGGTGTCATTCTCATGCGACCTGCTGTCGTGCCAACGTAGCTTTTACGATCTGATGTTTCACTTCAACTCGTATTTCAAGAAATAGTGACATACGTATGGAAGTTAAAAATGTTGATACGACTTCGCATATTATTTGCAATGTGAATGGTCAGTTATTCCTCTTAGTGAAGCAAATTTATTCAATATGACTTAAT